AGGGGGGCACATGTCATCAACAAGGGTACCTGCACAATGAATATTTGTATACCTAACCCTGAATTGTACCCCACAATTTTAAAGTAAAAAATTTAAAATAAATGTAAAAAGTCTTATTAGTTACCTATCATGTGCTGGTCATTGTCCTAATGCTGGGCTTGACAGGTTTATACCCCTCAGGACTTATAAAATGATATGGGAGAGATAAGCCAGCAACCCAACGATTATATGATGACAGAGCTTTGAGACAGGCATGAGATATAGACAATGGGTGGTGTGGTTGAATTTTGTAGGTGATGAAATGGGATTACAAAGGCAGCCACTGAAACTAGTTGATGTGTCGGGAACGGCTTCCCAGAAGTGAGGTTTAAATTGACTTTTGAAGGAAATGTTGGAGTTAGCTACAAGAATAAAGGGGCAAAAATTTCCAAGTTCTAACACTGGTACGTGCTTATGGCACCGGTTGTAGGAGAAGTAGTTTGATACATAAAGAAGGGAGAAGCCTGTGCAAGAGGGACAGGGAAATAGATTAGAGGGGGTGAGGGATGGAAAATGAGGAACCTGGGTGCTCAAGGGGGAAGGTTGAACTTTGTCCCCTTACCTTGGGAACCCTCAAAACATTTTTAAACTGGCAAGTAATATGATCGGGTTTTGGTTTTGGAAAGAAGTCATAGATGGACTATTATGTCACCCTGAATTAACTTTATGGTTAGCTTCCTTAATCTGGGCAAGTAAATTAAATCCTGAGTCAATACTCACATCCAGTTGAGTTGAGGCATTTGGGTGCACAGCTTCTGGGGAAGATCTTCTAAGTAGTTATTAATCATAGACCTTTACACAGAGAAAATATTAATTGAGACAAAATGATATGCCACTTTCAGGACGGTATTTTCATTATTCTACAATTTGGAAAATTGCATACCAAAAATCAATATTTTAGGATGAAGAGTTTACACATAACTAACTACTTCAAAATAATCTTTAAATATGGGTATGGCAAGGATTAGAGGGCAGATGTTGTCAAAGAAACTACACACAGGTGAGTATGATATATATTCTAGGAATAAAAGTTGTACAGTTTAATTTTATAAGATGAAACAAAAGTGTATATCGGGTAATAACTTTGAAGTTCATGGTAATTTTTCTTGTAAACTTCACATTTGTGATAATTTCCAGCACCATACACCCAAAGTTTCTCCTTAAGGGGGTCATTAATCGTTTCTAATATTAAAGGGCCACATTGGAAACCACATTACATCTGAGAAGTGACAGTAATGGGAATTGGGGGGAGGAAAACAACTTATGAACATGTTAAGCTCCACGATTAATTAATGATATTGTGGTCCCTTTTGACAAATGGAAAAATAATGATGCCATATGACCAACTGTAAAGGAACATAATAATCCCCTGATAAATCATTCCAGTGTATTAATAAACAGTGAACAATAATTGTGAGAACAGCTGTCTTGGTAGGACAAAGATTTTGGAATTTTTAGTGACTCTTGCTGGGCAAAGGCACATTTTCCTCGGTTAAAAATGGAGTTGGAGCTTAACTCCTTGGAGATTCCAAGAGATATAAATGTATTCATAGTTAGGATATAAAAATGAATACTATCTTTGGTCAACCACTACTAATAAAAACATGCCGTAGGCCTAAAAGGAAATTTAAGAAGATTCAAACAAGCCTATTTTAGTAGGCTTAAAATATACATTATGATCTGGTTGGCTGTTACCTTTGAGGCATGGCCAATCTGTAGCAACAGAAACGGCAGTTGGAAATACAGGAGAGGTTTTGACTAATAAAAATTTTAGTGGGCTTGATTTTTTCAAAGTTCTTTTTGTAAGCCAGTGTTAGATGTCGTTGCAATTTACAGACAAATGTATTGAAAGGTTGATGAATACTTACAGGAAAAACAAGGAATTTAATCCAGTAAACAACCGCTGTGAAATTCTGGTTATTGGGTTGTCATCTAGAATTCTGACAAAACATTTTCCAGTGTTAGAGACATTTGTGAAATAAAGCCAGGAAAAAATCAAAAGGTCCATGATGATCCTGCCTTCTCAATATCTGATCTACTCTGAGTGTCCTTCCTACTTTGCTCAGCTATTTCTTCTGGCTGGAGTGACTCTTCTCTCCAAATTCCAACATTTCCATCCCAACCCTTATCAAGTCAGATCCTGACTCTTTGCTTTCTCCCCATCCCCACTATCCAACTCCCCTAGACTTAAAGACCTAGGAATGTCCTTCACTTCTGGATACCTGGGTCCAGCACAAGCTGCACATATTGAATGAATATTAACCGAGTGAAGAATGAATAAAAATAATGAAAATAAAATTCTTAGGAACTCACAGATGATTCTTTGGTCTCTCAGTGTTTAAATGATGTATTGAGGGGACGCATAACACCGATAAGGGAACCCACACTTTTCCTGTATGATGACCACTATGTACCTAACCCTAAATTGTACCCCACATTTTTAAAATTAAAAAATAATAGGGGAAAAACTGGCATACTTCAAAAAATCAAATTTTAAAATTGTCATTTTGAGCCAAAATCACTTGGACATAACAGATAGAATTCCCTGGAAGTCCAAGAGAGAACATTAGGCTTATTTGATATGGTACAATTGTGCAGGTAGCCCTGGGAAGCAACAACTGGTGTCTAGCTCTCTTTGTGTTATGTTTGTATAAATGTTATTTATATGGATTCCAAACTTACATACGATTTTTAAAATTCTGAAATGTCTTGGTATCATATGTTATGAGCCATAATTTCACTTACTATGTTAACTTATTGTATGCCACAGAAATAACCAAATTTCTTTGTATGGCATCTTTAATCATGATTACTCTAAATACTAAAAAATAAATGATGTATTTAATAAAGTCTGTACAAACGAATGAATGAATGTCACACCATTCATAAGGAGCTTTATGTGTGAAAGACTGAACATATTTGTATATTCAAACCACCGCTTTTAACTGATTATGATACTGTCATAGAAGAAATTAGGCTAAGGGGAAACAGGCCCCTTTTCTTCTTGTTGCCTGTGAGACATGTAGCATTTCCTTTTACTCACAGGAGGTCTGTCAGCTTAGGACTGGAGAAAGGAAGCCACATTGAGTACCTACTGTATGCCAAGAGTTCTACATGGGGCAGTGTATACCTTTTATCTGATTTAATCTTCACAAAGTCCCTCTTAAAAAGAAATGATAAGTTACAGATGAATTACAGGGGCCAAGAAAGATTAAGAAAGTTGTCTGGAAGATTAAGCCCGGGGCCAGGCACATATAAGGGTCTAGATGAAACTGAAGCTCTGGGTTTTTCCACTAAACCAGGCCAAGCTACAGAAAATGGGCAAATGACACAGAGAGCCTTCTAACTGCCCTTGGTTTATTTTCCTGATGAAACACAGACATCTGATAGGAGATTCCTTGGCGTGGAGTTGATGGCTTAGTGGAGAAAGTGGCGAAATACCATGAGTTACCATATTCAGACTTTTCTCTGAATGCTCTAAAAATCAGAACAAAGTCTTCCCTTGCATCCTTTTTAGGTCAGTGGTTTTCAACAGAGTGCCAGTATTCCTCCCAGCAGACATTCAACAATGTCTACAGACATTTTTGGTTGTCACAACTCTTCGGCATGTACTACTGGCATCTACTGAGTAGAGGCCACAGATGGTGCTTGACATCCTGAAATGCACAGGTCATACTCTTCCCTCCCACTACCCCACACTCCTCCCCGAACCAAGAATTATGTGGGACCAAAAGGTCAATGGTGCTGTAGTTGAGGAATCCTGTTTTTGATGAACACGGAATGGACAGGTGGCTTAACAAACCTACCATAGAGCTCAGAAGGCCACCTGGAATAGCACGGCCAGCTTCCTCATCATACAACCACCACTTGACATGCCATTGTCTGAATTGCTTGGGTAAAGTGCCCCAGATTGTGTGACAACCAGAAAAATAAGTACAAAAAATAAGTGACATCAGTAAGCAGAAACTATATGAGTACTGTCATATATCATTAAGACCATGATCCTCTACGAGGGGAATGAAAGCTTGAATACTTACAGCCAAGTTAGCTGATGTAAGTCTTTGAAGACTCCAGGTCTGAGAGTTGTAATGCAGTTGTGGTTGAGATATCTACAAATAGCATGGGTGAGTTAATTAGGCAAACTCAACACTCTATTTTAGTCACATATAATTAGAATATAAGTCCCTGATGATAATTATGAACTTGGACATCTGCTTCTGAAAGCACTCTTCTGGTTGAGAAGAGGGAGGAAAAAAGAAGCAACGGATGGCCAGGAGGTACAGATAACCACTAGTCGTATGTGCAGCATTGGGGCTGGAGCAAGGAAAGTGGCCAGAAATAATGTTTTGGGTTATTCCATTACCTTAGCGTATAAAAACTGTGTGCGGGAATTTTTTGCTTTTAATTTTTTTGGTCACATTCTTAGTAGACTAGCATTTTAAAATACCAAAGTTTAGAAAAAAATAATAAAATGCTAAAATATTGTGGAAGTGCCTCAAGCTGGAGAGAATAAGGTGAAGGAGAGCCTTTATATGTTTTCTGGAAAAGTAGGAATTTTAAAATAATTCTTTCAGTGTAACAATGAATCCAAGTTCTTTGTGATAACCCATTCCCCTACGATCAATCAAGTCTTGAGAAAGTACCATTCTACCCTTTTAGTCTTTACTTAAAATTATACCCATAATAAAATGATAAAAAAGTTACTCACAATATTTGCAGATTGTGTAAGCCCCAAAATGCTTTCCTGGATATGTGTCTAATGCAGTTATGCTGAAGATATCTGATAGAATAAGATAGAAGAGTCAGGTGATTATGGTTCATGGACTTCATGAGGTTGAAAATGGACTCACCATTTTCCTCACCTGAAGACAATTGTGAAATTGGCTTACGAAGTGCACCATTCTATTCTCATGTTGTGTCCTTTTTTCATATCAGTGGGATGGCTATGAACTAGCCAGTGCATGCAGTTCTCATAGTACCAGTGAAGTGAGATTTAGGCATCGCTGATTCGTTCCACTGAACTCCAGGGTGTGATGTGTTTGGGGAAGGACTTAATATTGTTTTTGCAAACTGCAATGGTGGCAACTCTCCTGTCCTGACAGGCAGGAGTTGTTGGCCCCGTGAGACTAGCTGGAAGCTCATTGCTGAGCTTTCTTGTTCATTCAGCACAGAGATGCACCTTTAACTCTTCATTTCTCTTCCTTGTTCGGTTCCCCGTAAATGAAGGAGGGGCAAGTTTTAATTCTTTTCTATTTCAAGATGCGAAGTGAGAAGCACAAGATGACATAGTAAGGTGCTCAGCATCCCAAAGGGCATTAGTAGTTGAACTGAGGCAAGTACGCCAAGTTCAGCTCTCAGGACCGGGATTATTTGACCTCTGAAGCAACTTAACAGCACAGTATGGATCCAGTAATGGCACTGTCAGGACAATTTTCATTTTCTGTCTTCATTATACAATGGGAGGTTAGCCCTGAATGTTTATTTTCTAAGGGCTGTCGAGGCAGGTAACAGCTACACAAGTAATAACGAGTTATTGCATCGTCTTTTGAAAGGCTTCCGTTTCTCTTATTTGGATTTGAATTAATTTCTAAAATATCATACCACACTGTCTTAACTGTTATGATACTTTACAGCAAAACTATTGGTAGAACACATGCTCATTTAGCATCCGGCTACGTTGAATTTTGTTATATCACAATCATTTCCTAGTGGCTCCTCTTAATCTTTTCCTTTGGGTCACAAATTTGTTACAGGAGTGTCAGAATACTGACTCCCTCAGACCTTATGGTAGCCAGCTAAAACCAAGATCAATTTCCAACTGTCAGCAAACCCTATCTCTTACCCCAAGTACTGTACTGTACACTTGAAACTCAGTGTCACCTTGTACTGTCCTAACCCCCGTGCCCTGCACCAAGTGTTTGGAAAAAGGCCTCTCAGTGCCACATAAATTCTGCCCTTGGTTTAAGGTTCTGCTATGACTAGGACAAACACACAGATCAATATCTGCTTTAGCATTTTCAGAGCCCTTGAATGGATGTAATGAAAGGGAATATGGTGAATTACATTACAGCAGCAAAGGAAAATAGAAAAAGAGTATAATACTCTAATGTAGACCTACTGAAATTCCCCTTCAGTATAAAATTCACTATCTAACTAGTGCTGCTATTTACATTTTATTCAAGGTGATTAATTCAAAAGTGCAACCAACATTTTACCTACATGTGGTCACATCTTGAAGAGATGGGTGTCTCTGCAAGTTGTGAATTTGGTCTTGTGCTTTTGTCTTATAAGTCAAAGGAAAGAAAGAGTAAACCCAACGATCTGCATGACTCATCGGATATGCACAATCAATCTCTTCACTAACATCAATGAAGGCTCAAACTCAAATAATAAAGAGCTTCTCATTTTCTATATACAGAGGGTACCAAAAATGTATACACATTTTAAGAAAAAAAACTATTAAAATTGTAATACTCAGAACAATTATCATAATACTATAAGAAAGGGATTGGCAGTAGTGGGAAACTGCCAGGGGAAGGGGGGGCGGTAAGGGAGCACACTTCATCGGTAAGGGTACCTGATCTCAAACCAGGTGACATGGGGACCCAAGTGAGGCCCAAACTTTATCTGTACAATGACCATTTGTATGCCAATCTCTGAATTGTACCCAATATCCTTAAAATAAAAATTCAAAAAATACAGTAAAATAAAATTGTAATACTTCATATATACCAATAACAAAAAATGAATACAAGTCACGTTTGACTTCTGTGATTACAAGTGGTGCTCAGAGTGGTTACCATCAGGGTCCAGACACTTCTGATTATGGCGAACATCTCTTAGCATCGCTTAAAATGTGTATACATTCTTTTGGTGCCCCTGGTGGTTGACTGGCTGCTGCTCCATAGAGAACTAGAGCCCTAAGTCTCATGTCTCAGATGTAGGCTGCTGACTTCAGCTCCATCCTCCAGTATCTTTGCAGAAAAGTAGTTTAAAGAATATGAGGGGAAATTTGGAAGCATGACAATTTGGCAAGCAATGTCCTCTTCTTATTCAGAGCTGAGGCATAAGCCCGTTGAATATACTTTACACTGGATGACTTTTCTAAGAATAACTTACTGGTTCATGAATTCCTGCTGTTTCAGCTGTCAGGACTTTTCAAGCAGAAACGCCAGGAATTTATGTACCTGAAACTAAAGCAAATACATGCTTTAATGACATACATGTTTATAGGCTATTTTAAAATGTGACATTTTGTATTCAAGAGCCAGACAGACATCTTGAATTACATTTTGTTGCCAATGATCGCATTGAACAAGAACCCAGATTAAGAAGGGATTCTTCCTAACTTATATAAGGTCGATGCTACAAGGAGGAAAACTGCTATTGGTTTCTATAGCAGCAGTGATAAAGTATCATAGTCAATCCCATACATTGTGTTTTATTCCTCTGAAAGGTCATCTGAAACTGTTTTTCCCCCTCAAAGTTAGAAAGGCCTGACATTTGAAAAGGTTATTCAAATGAATAAACTGATCAATGGTGGAAGCGTTCAGATCCATTGAGCAACACTTATTTATATGGCGATTAAATTTGGTTTTGATTTAGAAGTATGTTTTTCCGGATGCCTAAATGACCTCAATTCCACTGTGAATATCTAGAGCATCTCAGACTGGAGTCTAACTTGACATTGAATTTGGGGGTCTCGTAGAATATTTCCCAATACAACTTAAAGATGCAAAGTAACTTTATTAGCTCAATACAGTCTAAACTACAGATGTGTGCATGTCTGTTCTCTGCTTCAATAGAATAAACTCCAGATACTTTAGCTGGCATTCAATGTCCTTACAATCATGATCAATGACCTCTCTAGTACATGTTCCAACATTTCCTATGGGAATCCTTCCTTTGAATAACCTGCCTGTTTACTCTCTTCTCAACATCTTTTGAATGTTTCTGCTTATGTTTCTTTTTTCTTTCTGCTTAAAACACTTCCTACCCTCGCCTTAGTCCAACGTGTTAGTCCTACCCATCTTTCATTTTAAAAAAAAGTTTGTAGTAGAGACGAGATCTTGCTATGTTGCTCAGGCTGACCTTGAACTCCTGCACTCAAGCAATCCACCTGTCTCCGCCTCCCAAAGTGCTGGGCTTACAGGTGTGAGCCACTGCACCCGGCTGCCATCATTCATTTGACAAACATTCGTTCCTACTCACTGGGTCCTTCCTATGTATGCTGCAACGCTAGGGTGGGCCAGGAGAGAACCAGGAGACCACCAAACTCAGGACAGCATGGTGGTAAGTGAGTAGTTCCTTCAAAACTCAAAGACGAAAATGAGGGTTTTATGAAAATGGAATTATAGTTGACCCAAGACATGCTGAAAAGATGAGATCAGTAAAAGCCCAAACTTTGTCATCATGCAATATACCCATGCAACACTCCTGCACACGTACCCCTTGAATCTAAAATTAAAAAAAAGATTTAAAACCTTGGGATAGCAGACCCTAGCTTTAGAGTTGCAATTCCCAAATACTGATGGGAAACAAAATAGGGTCAGGAAGAGAAATCAAGTACCGACTGCAGAGTAAGCAACTGGAGAATATACTTGTAATTTTTAAACTGAATTCTACTTTTAGATTCAGAGAAAATAACTTAAAAAATGATCATCATAATAAAAGCTCAGACAGTAAGAAATAGTATGGGAAATAAAAATGTATTTCTAGTTGTATTGTAGAAGCAAGAAAATGTTAAGAAGAAGTCTAAACTTGCCTCCTGGGACCTGTTTTATAATGTTGTGAGATAATAAAACAGAGACAACTGTTCATTTCTCAACTCCTGGTTTGTTCCTATATTCTCAAAGAAGACGATCTCAGAACTGAGGCAAACAGAAAAGCTACCGGGCAGGGGCAGTGAACGCCCAAGATGGTAGAATGCGTTATTCAAAATCAGTTAAAGCCTGGACAATTTCTTTCAGAAATTGAGAAATAACAAAAATAAGAACATCAAATCATGACCAATTGCTGAGGAATCTGAAGAAAGAATGAGTAACTGGAAAGTTAAAGATAGCAAATGGACTTTCAAGTTCTCAAAAAAGGGAAGAAGTAGGTGTCACATGCTATAGTTGGATGAGCTCAATGCTAGTCCAGGGAAGAGCATTGAACGTGCTATTATGAAGCTCCTTTGTGAACAGGGCAGTTCATGAAAAACAGAAACAGGGCATGTCAGACCAACTTTATTTCTTCTTTGAAAGACTGACCAAGAAAAACTGTGTGGTAGGCATTGTTATGTCTATTGGGCATTGATCAAGTGGTTTTATGATGTTTTCAAAGGCAAACTAAAGAATGATACACATCCTTATCTGAAGGATGTTACCGAAGGAATACTGAAAGACAATTTGCTGCTGTCCTCTTCAGAATTTTACTCTGTGATCTGAATACAGATGGCTCATCTTATTTGAAGATGATAGAAATCTAGGAGGAATAATGAATATGGTGAACAATACACAAAGATACGGTCTGGTAAGAAAAGCTGACTCTAACAGTATGAAACGGACTAAGGATACATTAAAGGACCCACAACTACCTCTCAAATGCTAAGTGCACAAGTACAGGATGGAACACACATTGCTTAGCAGTAACAGACACAGTGTGGGGTTAGGCATTGTAGAGGCAACATCACTAGGGGTTAAGGGTATCAAGTAGTCACTAGAAGAGTGACTACCACCAAAATCTTAGGACACACATAGCGTTCAGAAGGAAAGGGATGCTAATTCTTCCCTATTTGCC